TCCACCCCCTGCTGACCATAAAGAGCAGCTTATTTCTGTGTCTACGTTTTTAAACTCAGTCTTTTTTATAATGTTATATATGATATAGCCATACAAACAGACAACCTGTCTAGAGCCCATTATATCCCCATTACCACTAAGTAGGCCTATGTGCGCAGCTTCTTCAGAAATGAACTTGATATGTTAAAACAGATACTGCGTATTCATCTGTTAAACTGAAAGTGAAACCATTCGCCACGTTCCACGGTTATATGGGAAATTTTTCATAGCCTTTAGTTCTTCAAATAGTCGTGACATAATAAAGGTAGTTTTAGTACGGAAGACGCTTGCAATTTTTTAAATGCCGTTATTAAAATGAGCTTCGTTTTCTCGTAAACGAGATTTGTTGCCTCGAGATAACAAGATATTTTTCTCTGAATAATTACAAGTATAACCATATTGTGACGCCAGGCGCAGGCGTGTCATGGTCATGCCGCAGTGCTTCTCGTATGTGTACCGTAACTGTGTTACTTAATGTGTGCATCCGTGTATTTAACATTGAAATTAAGTGTTGTGCCCGTGTAGTGTTTCACCGTGAAGTGTATGTCATGTCCTGTCTATAAATTGCACCATCCTGGGATATGCTATGTCATATAACTATACAGCATATACAAGATATGATAATAAAAATACAGACATTTAATATAAACGAACCACACCCACATTCAAACATATTGTTTGAAACCTTGAAGGTTACTTTGAAGGTAAGCGATATGTGCTGCGTGTTTGACACTGTTCCATCTACACAACGGCAGGCATCTAGGGGAACCTTTGGATATCACTGTAAACTGTAAGCTACACGTCCTTTTTAAACACGTAACTTACGCTGCTAAATCGTCTCGTTATATCGAGGAAATGTTAATGGCAATTAAAAATAATTACAAACACGGCCGTTCTCAGCTTTGGCATTTAGATCAATATATGTGATGGGTGCGAGTTTCTGTGATATTATTAGTACGTAACTTAAAACCTTGCCTGTACAGCTACAGGTCTCGAGTTTCGTCATAATGTATTTTACATTATTACCATATAGCCTATTGTATACTACTACTTTTAAGCCCTGTCGTTCCGTAATGACTTAATGACATTTAAGTTTAGTTTACAAAACGATTAAAACGATAAATCTGCAGTGTTTACAGCAGCCCCATACTGTTTTTTGAATATATAATCCATGATGGCGATGCTTACCCGACTGTTCATGATTATTGTGTTTTATTTGCGCTTTCTCTTGTCGTGACGAATCGAAGAACAAATGTTTCCTTACTTCTTTATGCTTCAAACGAGATATTTTTCATATCGACCAGACGTCTCCGTATAACCAAAAGCGAAAGTTAAATGCCAACGAATGATAGAACAGATGTCACGTGTCAGACCAAAGTATGTGCACTTTACTACAATTGCATAGTGTATTTTACAGTTGCATACACAGGCATAGCAATCGATGTGCATATATATGAAAAGTCTCAGGTTCAAGTTAGACATATGGGTGCCTAAGTAAGCGTAATTCCCTTTCATGATTACCTGGATTTAGGAGTGAAGTCTAACCTACAGCCTGTTGCTACCAGACAGTCAGGTTATGGCTGTGAACCATTTTCTGTTAAAGGAAACTGTCATTTGCAGTGTAGATATAAGGACATAATTGTGCCTGGATTTTCACATTGTTGAAACAAGTGCTCCTCCAGTTCTTGGCCTGAAAGCATGTTTTGATATGGACCTTATCAAGTTAGTCCTCTTTGTCCAAACAAATGGGTGAAAACACAATTGTGAATGAATACAAAGATGTTTTCAGAAGAATTGAACTCTTTTCTGGTGACTGCTCCATCCATTTAAAATCAGATGATGCTCCTGTTGTTGACCCACCAAGACACATAACAATGGAACAGTTAGGTAAAATCAACAAGGTCAAAGAACTGACAAATTGGGTGAATGCTCTGGTAGTTTTGACCCAAGGGTTGGGCTGGGCATTGTTCAAGATCTTTCAATATCAGTACCAAAATAATACCTTGATTTTGATACCGGTGCCTGAATTATACTTTTTTTTTTCTCAATACCAATATAATTTTTAAATCAATTTCCACAACAGCAAAAATACATTAAACATTACAGTACATATCTTTTACTTCATCAAGTCATTTTGTTAGTTACTGTCGTATTCATAACAAGACACAGCCTTATAATTCATAAATCTGTCCAGCAGAGTTTCATTTTCAGAAGAATAATAAACAATGTAACGTTATTCCACTAACAAGCAATGGCATGTTACCTTATTGAGGTACATAAATAATTCCATCTGCCTTGTCTCTTTTTCTGCACTTCCACATGACATCCATGTTAGTGCCGGTGTTTGTGGTCAATCAACAAGAAATCACTGTAAGCACTTGGACACTGTAGTGCCTCTGAGGTCCTGCAATTGCACCAAGTTCCGGTGATCTCACTCACACATGCATGCATACACATACACACCAATTCTCACTCTCTCTGGGTGTTTCACATGATGTACAACAATGTGGTCAGCCTGGGGCATACAGTACAGTGGTACCTCAGTTCTCAAACTCATTAGAACTCGAATTTCTTAAAAGTTGAACTAACCTGTTCGAAAAAAAATTACCTAGATCTCGATCTGAATCTCAGAAGTCGAACCCTGAATGCCGACCTAAGATAACTTGTACTCGCAGGGAAATAAGTCACGCAGCACATCACTTAGCGGAAACAGAGGGTAACACTTCAGTCTCAGCGTCGCATTCACTGTGATAGCATCGTGCATGTTTACACTAGCTGAATACAGTGCATATATTTAAACAATAAAAATACAGTGAGGAACATAAGTATTTGAACACCCTGCGATTTTGCAAGTTCTCCCACTTAGAAATCATGGAGGGGTCTGAAATTCACATTGTAGGTGCATTCCCACTGTGAGAGACAGCATTAAAAAAAATTTCAGGAAATCACATTGTATGATTTTTAAAAAAAATATTTGTATTGCACTGCTGCACATAAGTATTTGAACACCTGGCAATCAGCAAGAATTCTGGCTCTCAAAGACCTGTTACTCTGCCTTTAAAAAGTCCACCTCTACTGCGCTTATTAATCTAAATTAGTAGCACCTGTTTGAGCTCTTTAAAGACACCTGTCCACCCCACAGTCAGTCAGACTCCAACTACTACCATGGGCCAAGACCAAAGAGCTGTCAAAAGACACTAGAGACAAAATTGTGGACCTCCTCAAGGCTGGAAAGGACTACGGGGCAATTGCCAAGCGGCTTGGTGAAAATAGATCAACTGTTGGAGCAATTGTTAGAAAATGGAAGAGGCTAAAGACGACTGTCAGTCTCCCTCGGACTGCGGCTCCATGTAAGATCTCACCTCGTGGGGTATCACTGATGATAAGAAAGGTGAGGAATCAGCCCAGAACTACACGGGAGGAGCTGGTCAATGACATGAAGAGAGCTGGGATCAAAGGTCACTTTCGGTAGAACAGTACGCCGTCATGGTTTCAAATCATGCATTGCACGGAAGGTTTCCCTGTTCAAGTCATCACATGTCCAGGCCCATCTGAAGTTTGCCAATGACCATCTGGATGATCCAGAGGAGGCATGGGAGAAAGTCATGTGGTCAGATGAGACCAAAATAGAACTTTTTGGTCTAAACTTCACTCGCTGTTTTTGGAGGAAAAAGAAGGAGGAGTTGCATCCCAAGGACACCCTCCCTACTGTGAAGCATGGGGGTGGAAACATCATGCTTTGGGGGTGCTCTTCTGCAAAGGGGACACGACGACTGCACTGTATTAAGGAGAGGATGAATGGGGCCATGTATTGTGAGATTTTGAGCAACAACCTCCTTCCGTCAGTTAGAGCATTGAAGATGGGTCGTGGCTGGGTCTTGACAATGACCCGAAGCACACAGCCAGGATAACCAAGGAGTGGCTCCGTAAGAAGCATATCAGGGTTATGGAGTGACCTAGCCAGTCTCCAGACCTAAATCCAATAGAAAATCTTTGGAGGGAGCTGAAACTCCATGTTGTTCAGCGACAGTCCCGAAACCTGACAGATCTAGAGGAGATCTGTGTGCAGAAGTGGGCCATAATCCCTATTGCAGTGTGTGCAAACCTGGTCAAGAACTACAGGAAACGTTTGACCTCTAATTGCAAACAAAGGCTTCTGTACCAAATATTATCACTTATTTTCTCAGGTGTTCAAATACTTATGTGCAGCAGTGTAATACAAATAAATTCTTTAAAAAAACATACAGTGTGATTTCCTGATTTTTTTTTTTATGCTGTCTCTCACAGTAGGAATGCACCTACAATGTGAATTTCAGACCCCTCCATGACTTCTAATTGGGAGAATTTGGAAAATCGCAGGGTGTTCAAATACTTATGTTCCTCACAGTACATTTAGACAAAGATAGACAGTAACAGTAATTATTATTATATAATAAACTACATTTAAAAATAAAGATTTCTTATTAATTATAATTATGTTAATATTAATAATAAACCATTAATACATTTAATTATAATAATATTGTCATGTCAAACAGGGACGGAATGGAGACAAAGGCGCAGACGTCAGGGTATCGGGCAATACGGGGTTTAATTACAGGTAAGGCAGGCAAAACGCAGACGGACAATACAATGACCGGACTGGGGAAACAAACTGAAACGCGGACTAAATATAGAGGACTAATGCCAACAACCAGAAACAGCTGATCACACGGGGATCCCACACGGGGTTAACGAAGGAGCGGACGATCTGGGCATGACACATTGTTTTTTTGTTTTTTTTTTTACTTTACACATTGTTTGGATACATTTTTTCTCTTATTTTAAATCCTGTTCATTTTGTTTCAATTAATTGGTTTTCCATTATTTCTACAGTATATGCTCTTGTATTATCCTGTTCATTTTGTGTTTAAATACTAAGAACTAATTTATTGTTTTTCCATTATTTCTTATGAGTAAAATTCGATCAGAACTCGAACTTTTTAGGATTCGGTCCGGAGTTCTGAACTGATTAATTTCGAGTTCTGAGGTACCACTGTATATGCAAGTTCCACTGGTGCATCTAGTTAATTGTCGCAGCCTGGAACCCGGTGGAGTGACACTTTTGATTTCTTTGGCAATTTTTACACTACACGACATACTGTACAAAATAAGATTCAAGATTGCTTTATTTGTCACATGCACAGTTGTAGAGGTACAACATGCAGTGAAATGAATTTTGTCCCGATCAACCTGACCATACATATACAAACATTACAGGGGGTAGACAGGTCAGGTAGACAGGGGATATAGGAAAAACAGAGAAAACAGAATGACATGAGGAGAGAAGAGGCGAATAAAAAAAACAGCCCCCAGAAAAAAAGGAAACCGAAAAAAACACCTCAGCAACATAAGCACATGGTCACCACACCTTACAACATAAAAAAGTCGTGACTTGCAACAGGGGAGGGAAATGGGGAGGTGGAGGTAGTCCAGCATAGACAAACAGCCATCCGGTCATGCAGCCAAGTCCAGCGCCGGTCAGACCCCGGCTTTGGACCCATCGCGATCGACCCGACTTCCCCTTTGGATTATCCCTTTGGCTTTGACTGCACCCGGCTTTCTAAATAAACGTCCCGTCTCCTGCATTATGGGGTTCGCCTCTTCTTTGGTAGCGGAGCGTATCAGTTATATTTATCAAGATCTGTGGGACTCAGTTTTTTTATGCAGCAGGAAATCAATTCCAAATGTGATACAACGATATTAATAGCAAGAAAGAGAAAACTAATTCAGATATTATTTTTGAAAATAAGACACTTATTTTGGGTAATGGTTTGATTGCTGTAAAACATTCAGCAACAGCTATTTACATGAATACATTTCACAAATTATCCTTATGGTTTCTTGGATGTCCAGTAAAAATTAAAACCCAATCCAGGGAAAAATAAGCAATTGGTGAGGCTTAGAATACACTTACAAAAAAAAATCACAGAAAGTTTCATGGACCAAAATTCATAACTAAAGTATTTGGAGAACTATAAGATTTTTCAAGGTACCATGAATTTAATGCAAGTTTTCACAAGAATTAAAAAAAAAAAAATCTATGGCATGAACTGGGAGGTCTAGGTGAGTTGATATGGAATGACCCTTAGCCCACTACACCAAAGGACAGAAATACAGTAACTGATCAAAACCGATTAAAATCGTGTTTACGCACTATTTTGTAGTGTTAATCCATGCTTCCCTGTAGTATGTTTCTTTCTTCATTGGTATTTATTCAGCTGTGAATGCACTGTGGCAACTGCCTGCTCATTTTCCTTGCATTGCAGCAGCCCTTTAGTTTCATGGTAGGCACAGTGGACGACTTGGACTGTGTTGCTCCTGGACGGTTGCACTGTGATGTTGGTCATGTGACTGGGGTTGTGACAGTGGTGCATGAACACCAGGATGACAGGTTTGTCTTCTGTGGAAGTAAGAAACCAAACAGGTTACTGTGGGCATCAATAACCTCTGTTACTGCCCCCCACTGCACATTGTACAGTTGGTGAGTAAAATAAAGGGGGGGGGAGGGGCGATCAATCACGGTGTGGTGAAGTAAACGAATGCTGGCATCTAATCCTATGTCTCCCCTGCTTGAGCTGTGCTTCCCAGGACAGACTCTACATTCACCATGATCCTGTACTGGACAAGTGGACATGGAAGCATGGAAAGTCTTTCTAACCTAAGAAACCTGCTAAAAGCAAATGTTGATTATTCAGATTAAACACTGTTAAATACTGTACATGCGGTGTGGTAGAAGCACTATTCATTACAGAACAGCATAAAACATTATTGGGTTAGTCACGAAATAGTAAAATACAAAATTATTGCATAGGCCTATGAGTTTCATGCATGAAATATGGCTATTGACGTTCACATTTAAGAAATTTATTGTCTTTGTGTCTGTTACTTTTTTATCTACCAGATTACCTGCTAGCCAAAGCAAACTGTCAGGTTCATTGAGTGATATGGATGCATTATTGATCTGAGTTAAGTTTCACAGGAAACTTCTCAAAGGCTGTTTCTATTCAATAAATCACAGCTGCTCAGTGAAGAGACAGACTAAACAATATCTGCATGTTGTAGCTTTTTTTGCAGGTCAGAGCCCTGGTGACAAATAGAGGTGCACCGATCCCAGTTTTTCAGTGCCGATACAATCCCGATACCTGAACGGATGGGAATGAGAATGAGAATACCCTCCTAAATCACAATATCCATGTTGTTTTTGACGAAATATGATGTGTGAAAAAATTCACAGATACAGCCGCGGAAAAAATTATGAGACCACAGCACAATTTTTTTGTTTCACTCATTTCTCAATGTATGGGTGTCTGTCTGTGAATAATGTATATATTTCTGCAAACTGCAGCCTGGCTCTTCCCTGTTTCTCACTAATGAGGGGCTTCTTCCTTTGCTTTATGGGTCTTCAGTCCTGCTTCTAGGAGCCTGATATGAACTGTCCTAGCAGTGCACTTCACACCTACACTTAATGTTTCCCATTCCTTTTGAAGGTCACTTAATGTTATCCTTCGATTTATGAGAAACTGTCGGATAAGTTAACGGTCATCTTTGGCATTAGAATGTCGCTTCCACCTTTTTCCTGGCTGGTTTCTGGTCATTCCCAGTGTCTCCTGCTTCCCCTTATCCTTCTGTACTGCTGCCTTAGAAACTTTGAACCTGAAAACATCCTGCTGCTCAGCCTTTTGCCAGCAGAACCACAATTAAACCATGATTTAAAAATGTAAATTTGTTTAAAAATATAGAGTGGTTTCTTAATTTTTTCCACGGCTGTATATTTGCATACATATTATCACTTTATTTACCTCTATGGGCACGTGCCATGGCAATACAGTATATGGGCTACTTGACAGACCGGTGACCAAACATCATTCAATGTTTCTATTCAATAAATCACAGCTGCTCGATAAAACAAACAATGTCTGTTGTAGCATTTTTTGCAGTTCAGAGCCCCGGTGACAAACAGCAGAGACTGAATCCTGTCTCACCTGTAACTCTGGCCATGGCTGCCTCCATGTCTGTCCTAATCTGAGAAACAACAGGACAGAAGACCAGGATGATGCTGCAGCTCTCTGCACTGCAGCGCTTTATCTGCAGCTTCAGCTTCTTCATGAAGGTGTCATGGGTACAGAAAGTTTCTCCGGCAACCAACACATGAACTTTGACTGCAGAAGAGAAATTGAATTTAAAAATGAGCTACAATGATCAAGAACAGAAAAATACAGATGAAAACTGACAGATAAAAAACTCAGTGGTACTGGACAGCTTGGTTAAAGAAGGATAATATCTCAACTTCTTAGGGTTTGGGAGAAACTGGGAGAATACTCTAGGCAAAGAAAACCCTTTAATTTCTGTAAAGTATTTCCCATCTTGGGTCAGATGTAGTACAGCGGCAAAAATTTATTTAGACAGTTATGCAGGAACGGATTTAAGAGAATCTGTTTAAACCAGAAAATCTTGCAACGCCATGTATAAAGGGGATTCCTCTAGGTCCAAAGAGCAGTGACCCCTATTGGCGACTCTATAGCTGAAATTGGATTTTATTCAAACTGTTCTCTCTGCCTAAAACTGGTCACATTAACCTTCTGGCAGTGGGCCAGTGGACAGAATACAGTGCCATCACTGTTTCCAGCAGTAAAGCTGGATTACTGTATCCTGCAGTCTGAATTCAATGTTTTCTGCCTGATGAATTATAAGTTTCAAAAACAAAGTGCTGCATTTCCTTGTTGATGGTACTAAAAGTGTCTGATCGAGGTGAACTGTACTAAGGGACATATAACCAAATTTTAGGTGTGCTGTATGTATATTTGTGACCCTGTTCGTATAATTTTGACCCTGCGTTGGTTTAAAAAAACTGACAATAAATTGAAACTTGTGCCTCAAATTTCTGATTTTTTTGTTGCATGTTTTATAATCATTCTGCCACAGAGAAAGAACAGTGGAAGCCAAAACTGCCATGTGAAGCATGTCTGTGATGAGCGTATATAAACCTTTGAATCCAACTGTAGCTCTGCTGTTTAAACCTGTGACCTCTTTTGCCTGAGTGTTTTTAAGTTAAATAAAGAAAATACGGCATTACCTCCATATTGCAGAATTGTTTTCCACCCAAAATAAATGTTTATGGATCACTGATTCTTTTTCTTGGAAGTGTGTATGTATCTTTAAACATAGTTATGCAGAGATCACTCAGGCCCCAATTAAGACTCTCTTTACCTCCAGCAAGATCTTCTCACTCATCAGATTCGCTCTACTCACCCACTGGCCCGGTTATTTTTGGCTTGCTGACATCCTGGGTAGCCATCAGCCACTGCGGCAAATCCCTGCCACTATGATGGACTCTGGACTGTGGGACCTCAGGAGCAAGATCTTCACACAAGAACATGAGACCAGGGCGTATAGACACATAATAACATATCTGTGCTGTAGATTTTCCTTCAGTTTTGCTCTATTCTGTTGAAACAGCCCCTAGCTTAGAAATTTCTCCTTCATTTTATTAGTAGAACTCATTCCAAATGTAATTCTTAATTCTTGTTGCAAATGTAATTCAGCTGTTTCAAACGTAATTCTTACTTACGACCATCCATAACAACACCTGAAATTCTTTCTTTGCAAAACTGGAAGGGATGGAGGCAAATGTGGCCAAACTATTAAGTTTTACAAGGACATATAAGGAGGGGATTCCACTTCATCAAACAAGAAGTGACCCCTAGTGGCCACCCGACAGCAAAAACTGAATTTAAATTTTCTTACTGCACAGCAAAATACTGATCACGTTTACCTTCAAGCAGTGGGCCAGTGGTGGTGTGATTGTATCCTGGAATAATGCTGAAGTACAATGGATATACCTGTTGTTTTAACCCCTAATACCCTCTGCATTCATTTTTTAATTTTCAGAAATAAAACACTGTGTTTCCTCCATACTGTAGCATTGACTTCCACCTGTAGCTGCTCAGGAGCTAAAACTGTTCTCTCTGCATTAGACTGATCACATTAACCTGCAGGCTGGCCAGCTTAGTGCCGATCATCACTGATATTAACATTTGTTGTGGCACTTACTGCAATTCACACTGTTGCACATCATTACGTTGTAATATAACAAACAGATTTTGTTCGGCAACTTACTCATGACAGCTAGGCCTGAATCCATACTCTGTCGAGTTTGCTCCTTCACAGCAGAAAGAAAATGTCAGATTCATCAAAGCAAAATTCACAAAACCAAATAACAATGTGAACACATTATGAAAGTAATAGGCAAAAAAGCAAAATAAACTACAGGGAAGTACTTTGGCTTTATTACAATAATCATAAGACACTGAGGATGTGAACTTGTGCGTGAGCTTTAAAGGTACCGATGCCCCTTTTTACCTTTGGGCACCTGCTGCTCACAAAGACTCAGCACAGTCCTGATTATTTTTGTGGGTGAGGTTGTGAATGACGAGAAAAGTGTTTCAGTAATTCCTATACTAGAGGTGAGATGGCAGAAAACATGCAAGTTTATACAAAGGGTCCATTCTATGAAATTTATTTAACTGCCAAATTACTGTAAAAAGAATAGTTATTATGGCTACAATGTAGTGATTTGTTACTTATACGTGGTTTACCTTTAAATACATATCGATGAGACCCAAGATGTTTATTCGATTTTGAGAATTACGTTCACCTGGCAGGTGTTTATTAAGGTCCTTCATTGTTAATGAGAGAATATCTGGACCATAGGGAACTGCCTCTGAAGGGGGAAAATATAATCAAAGTTCAAAAATCACAATATATGTATCTCTGTAGCTGGTCTAATAGTCACAAATTTCATCCATCGACTATCTACTATGACTGCTTCAGCAATAGATACTGCAGGACGTCTGAGGTACAAGGCAGGAAAGTCAATGGGCAGGATGCCAGTCTGTTACAGGGGACACTGACAACCGCATATTTGACTGCAAACAAAATAATTACATACCCCTTAGCAAGGGAGACCGTTTCTGCATATTTACAGCAGAACATTTACCAAATAAGTATAGCCTACGTTTTAACGATGTAGGAAGAACACAACAGCAAGAAAGGTGGAACCTGCTAGTCCCAAGTCCATTTCCTGTCTCTACTCCACCCCCTGCTGACCATAAAGAAGTTTGTTTTTTAAAATTCAATCTGTTTATAACGTTATGTCATGATATACCCGAACTAACAGACAATCTTTCAACGTTATATCCCGTTTCAGACTTACCACGTAGTATGTGCGCAGCTTCTTCAGAAATGAACTTGATATGTTCAAACAGATCCTGCACATCCATCTGTTAAATTAAAGTGAAACCATTCGCCACGATCCATGGTTATATGGTGAAGTTTTCATGGCCTTTAGTTATTCAAATTCTCGTGACACAATAAAGGTAGTTTTTAGAAGGAAATATAGATTGTTGTGCATTTCTGTTATATTACTAGCATGCTACGTAGCTTCAAACCATCTCTACAGCTAGTTCCATAGATTCGACCTAAGGCTTTTTACACTTAACGTATATTGTATACCACTAGCCTACTTTTAAATCCAGTTTCGATTTAATGGCATTTAAGTTTAGTTTACAAAATCTATTAAAACGCTCGATCTGCACTGTTAATTTACAGCAGTCTAACGCTGCTTTGTTATTATACTGTATAATCCATGATGGCGATGCTTACCCGATTGTCCTTGATTATTATGATTATTGTGTGTGATTTGGTCTTTCTCTCGACGCAAGAAATAGAAGAATAAATGTTTCCTTATGCTTCAAGTGAGATGTTTATCATATCGGTCAGATTTCACTGTATGACCAAAAACGAAAGTTAACTGTTTGTTCGAGTGTCACGTGTCCGACACAACTTTCTTTAGTCAGTTCACACTTGGCAAGCCAAAAGACGCAATGAAAAGCGCAAAGCATTGTACTGCGTCTTTTTTTATTTTTTCGCGTGCGTTCTTCTGCGTTTTCGTCTTTCGTTTGTCCACATTCTTGTGCGTCTTTACCCGTTTGTAATGTTGCGTTGCGGTAGCCGTTTGTTTGATTGTCCCAAGTGTTTGTGGGGAAAAGAGGGAGTAAAAAACGCATACAAACATTTTGGAATGCGTTTGTATGCATTTTTCATTGTCATCAACGGGAGGGCGCAGCGCAAAGACATGCGGGCAGCAGTGCCTTTTCAAAATGCGCCGCAATGCAGCGCATTATAGAATGAGGGAACATCAGACATTGCTTTCTATGCTATATATGTATGGCAAGCCAAATTGTCTTTTATACTGTATATGGAAAGCCGTTTGAGCATTTACTCTGATAAGACATTCTGGCCCACTAGTACGCCACTTTGTTGTACTGGTACTGCAAAAATGTTTACTAGTCAAGTGTTTTCATCAACTTGTTAATGTGTTGCCTGAAATTTCCTGCACTAGTTAACTAGTAAGGCTTAAAATGCCTACTAGTAGCACTAGTATATAGGCCAAAATGTCCACTAGTGACCAGAGTGCGAATTACCCCTCCATAATTGGGGGGTACTGCCTTCATAACACTTCTATGACCATTATGGTCCGCTACCGCATCAATACAAATAGCCGCCACCAGGATCAATGTTAAGAGTGCAAGATGCGCTAGGGGTGTTTACTAACATATATGCAACACACGGTCATGGTCTGGACATGCGACACAATGAGAATCAATACAGCAGATCTCATTATCCTTATCCCTATCCAAAAGATTTTGGTTTTGATAACTCCCAGGAATTATCCTAGAAGTAGTATACTAGTAAAAGTAACAAGCCTATACATTTACAAACAGCCTGGTCTGGTCCAGCAGTCTGGTGTTATTCCTGCCCTCTCAGTCCCCCCAGCTCCAACAGCCTTCAGAAATAAATATTTACCTGTTAGGCTAATATCTGTCTTGATGATACAGTAGATCTTAAAGTACAGCCTCATTTCTAACTCACCTCTTGGTCCTGCGTGCTGTCCTCATCCTGCCATCTTCCTGCTCCCTGCTCACTGTCCTCATCCTGCCATCTTCCTGCTGCCTGCACACTGTCCTCATCCTGCCATCTCCCCGCTGCCTGCACACTGTCCTCACCCTGCCATCTTCCCGCTGCCTGCACACTGTCCTCATCCTGCCATCTCCCCGCTGCCTGCACACTGTCCTCATCCTGCCATCTCCCCGCTGCCTGCACACTGTCCTCATC